ATGCATTAGTCAAGACAGATCTTATAAGACTTGCTTTCTTAAATTAAGAACTGCATCTTTAGCAGTTCTTAATTTAAGAAAGCTGGATTTTAAATAACTCTTCAGGGCACTTCTATATATTTCTGTGGCCAACACATTTTTATTATTTATCTCCCTTATCAAATAACTGAAACTGTTAACTTTTTCAAATTTATAATTGCCAATTTCTGAGTGACTAAGTGACTCAGACTTGAAGCAAGCTAAATATTTTGATTTATTTTCGTTTACAAATAAATAAATTCTTTTAGCACTTTATTCCAATGCCATAAATGCCTGTTTGAGAGCCGGTGCCCACTGCAGGCAAAATGTCATCAGCATAGCCATTATTTGAACTGAGTAAATATATTTTCTCTAATAAACATCTTTGAGTCTCTAATAACTTTTTCAGGTGCTACATTAAATAGGAGGCATGCCGATACATTCCCTTATCACACTTCATTTTTTATCTCAAGCTGTTCTGTATAATCTCCCTTTATACGTACTTGAATTATGGTTTCTTTGAGAGTCATTGCTACAAGTGCAAAACGTTTTTCTGGAATTTTCAATTCATACATTGCTTTTATGAGAGGTTCTCTGTTAATACAATCATGTGCTGTTCTAAAATTGATAAAATGATTGTGAGTCTCAATTCCAAATTCTGTGCATTTTTCAAGAATCTGTTTGAAGTTGAAAATTTGTTCAGTTATAGATCTTCCTTTCCTAAATCCACATTGATAGTCACGTATCAAGTTATCAACAGATAGCAAAAGTCTGTCAAAAAGAATAGTAGACAGAATTTTATAGGATGTGCAAAGAAGACTGATTCCTGTATAATTACTACAATCTTTTGTCACCTTTTTTGTAACATCAACTTTTTTGTGTATCATGCAAATGGCACTAAGTTTCCATTCCATTGGGATCACTCTCCCAAATATGTTGAATTAAATTCCTTTATAAGCTGTATGCAGTTAGGTCTCATAACTTTTAAAAATTCTGACAGTATATTGTCAGGTCTAGGAAATTTATTGTTTTTTAATTTTTTATAACATTATTCACTTCTATCAATGAGGGGGGATCAATAGCCTTTAAATTTCTGATTGTTGATCCATTAGGCAAGTCAGAATTCAGGTGCTTCCACTATCTTTGAAAAATTTGCCTTTTGTACCTAAAATATTGCCATTTTTCTCTCTGCACAGTTCTTGGCTTGAAACGTCTTCATCCATTATTAATCTCATGAAAGAAAGGTCTGCTTTCCCCTACTTCCTTAATATGTTCAATATCCTTTAAGAGATTTTCATGAAAGTTTTTCTTCTTAAGGCAGTGGATCATTTTTTCCTTTTTTTCTGGCTCATTTTGTATTTGACAACAGCTATTCTAGTAAATTTTCTTTCTGTCATGTTCTTATATTTGTAAGCTCGGTAGCAACTCTGCATACTAGGTCAAAGCAGTCATCACATTTTTTCTTTTTAACTTTTCCTATGACATAGTTAGTTGCCTGTTTCCATAATAGCCAATTTTGGTGAATTCCATTTTTCATCAATACTTTCCAATTTGTCCAATTTAATGTTTTTCAATTTTGTTTCCAATTCATTCTGGTACCTTTGCTTAATGTCTGTATATTTCAACAGCTGACAGTTATGTTTTTCTAATTCTACCCCTTGGTTTTTACAGGCATTAGAAATTCTTGCTGTAATTTTCATCATTACTAAGTAGTGGTCCGAGTCGAAATTTGCTCCACGATATGATCTAACTTTCAGTATGTCTGATGCATGTTTAAGATCGATTAAGACGCGATGAATCTAGTTAAAGGTGTCACAATCTGAAGATCGTCAGGTCATTTTGTGTATACGTTTGTGTGGAAAGCAAGTACTGGCCACCACCATATGATGTTCTGCAGCAAAAAATATCAACCTCTGTCCATTATTATTTGAGTCACAATGTAGGCTTGCCTTTTTTCCCAATCTTGGCATTTGCATCACCCAATGCTATTTTTATATCATGTTTGGAACTGGAAGAATACAATCCATGGATTTTTTTTTTTTTTTTTTTTTTTCATAAATAGTATTTTTTTCTTCCTCGTCTTTGCTCTCTTTTGAGGCATGTATATTTGTAATGCTATAGTTGAAGAATTTGCCTCTCAATCTGATCTTGCTAAGCCTAGGCGATTTGGCCTCAAAATCAATGATAAGATGCCTAATCCTCTTATGATCACAACTGATCACACTGTAAAATACATTTCATTGTGATTTCTGCCACCTTGAATTCCCTGTCCAATCCATCTCATTTCCTGAAGGGCTATCAAATCAATCCTATAACTATCCATGATTTCTGTTAAAAAGGATGGACCCTTGCTTCTGTAAAGCGAGCATAAATACCATGTACTGAATCTCAAATCCTTTCCAAGTCACCTCCATATTGACAATTTAGAAAATTCTTTCTTTGATTTTGTAACAAGAGTGTTTTTTTTCCCTTTGCAGGCTTCATGCCCAAACCCCAACATGGAGGACCAGACCTCCAAATTTACAAACCTTCTGGAGGCAGGGGTGCCCAACTATACCCCTGGACACTGGGTACTCATTTTAGTCACCATTTATGACATGCATGAGCTACATTGGGACTATTCGTTTACACCCATTCAACACACTGTGTTTTTTTCCCCTTCTCTTTCTTAATAATTATATTAATTTTCTTTCTTATTGCTGTTAGGAACTGCAATTCAATTTTAAATTCCATCCAACTTATTATTGAAAATTGAGCAAATGCTCTTCTTATTCCAACCTGTAAGGATTGAAGTGGTTAAGATGCAGACAGTTTTGCAGTTTATGGAAGTTTTGAATTTAGTAAATTTGTGTCATTATCAGTTCAGAAATAGGCTGCTCCATTAGCTTGTCTCAATACACCAATCCCCTGGCGAAAATTAACGATCTTTATATATCTTTATTATTTACATTGTTTTTTTGTTTGCACTTTTCTAGCATTTATTATTCTGTGTACTCTATCTCATTTCTGGATTAGTATATGGTGGCTTATTGTCTAAGCAAAGAATTTTTTATTTTTATATTAGCATGCACCAGTTTGAATATGTATTGGCTTTTATTTATATGTATATATCTGGTTGTAAGAAATGTTTTTCCCCTCAAAATGTTCTTAATAAAGTTAGGGAAAAAAGAACATGAAAGCAGTGCCTTCAGTGTGGGTAGTAATCACCACCCAAATCCAAATTTTCTACCAGGGATTTGATAGTTTATCAAAGGCTTCAGCATAGAAACTTGGTAGCCGCAAATCCAAAAACAGATGAACCTCATTTCGAATGACCTGTGCAAAACTGAAGATAGCACTAGCAAGTTGTAGCTGCAAGTGTGAAAAAAGGTAGAAGTCCGAAGAAGCAATGTCAAGGCTATATGGTGGATGTGGCAAAACATCCCATTCAAGTTTGTACAGAGTCCACCAGTGAATGCAATGTGGTCTTTCAATATCTTGATGGAACATTACTTTTTTGTGCCGAAACTCCGTTTGACATTTTTTCTTGATAGCAGCGTCAACATGGACTAGCATCTCGTGGTATGCCTTTCTGTACTGTTTTACCTTCTTCCAGTTAATACCACAGCAGTCCCACTAGGTACGAAACATAATTCTTGTTAGTCAAATTTTGCTTTGTGACGCTGCTGGCTTGCTTCCCATATGCAGACCAACCCAATTTTCTGCCTGTGTTATTAAAGTAAATCCACTTTTCATCACAAGTGATGATCTGGTCCAGAATTTTCTTTCTGCATTGATATTTGATCAGATTAGTGCAGACCTAAACATGTCTGCCCTTATCTGCTGTCAGCTCATGCAGCACCCAGCAATTGAACTTGTACGTCAAGTTTATGCAGTGCACAGTGCGACTAATGGGCATAGCACTGACTTCCAACTCTTTAGCAAGCTCTCAAAGGGTTGCATACTGATGTTCTTCCACAAGTTCTCACAAGTGGGCCTCATCAACATCAGTGGGCCGGCCAGAGGACTCTGCTTCTTGAGAGGGATTATTCAATTATGGCAAAGCACATGAGGGCTATCTGCCTAAAAGGAGAGATGCCTTCGTGGAGAACTTTCTAAGGGAAACTGGCTCGTATATCCGTTACACATGGGGAAAACCACGAAAACGCCTGTGCAGCAAGCCCATTTGCGGGATTTGAACCTCGGACCGAACTACCAGTGTTCAGCGTCTTTACCACTTGGTTGCTGGTGGACTCTCTGCTTCTTGAATGTGATAGTCCTTGTTTTTGAACTTTTGGTATCAAACCTTTAAGGTGTCGTATGATACAACATTAATACCTAAAGCTGTACAAGTAATTTGGTGACATTCTGTTGCTGACTTTTTGCAACAAAACAAAGTAAATTATGGTTCTAATCTGGTAGCATGATAGTTCTGTTTCAGACACCTTTTGCTTAATGTTAACGATATTTTTTTTACAAATTTCACAACACAATGTTCTAAAGCACGTCTTTTTCTTTAAAATGCCAAAAATCATTTGAAAAATGTCATTAAACACGTTAACGCAAACTGTTTGAGCAGACGATATTTTCGGTGGAGGGAAACTTTTGTTAAAGCTTGGTATATATATTCTGAAACAGCTAGAATGGGTACTAGAAAGTAAAGGGAAAAAATCAAAAAATGGTATTTCAGTTTTCCATCCAGACATCTGATGCAAAAAGTTTTTGCATAAAGCTCTTAGGCATAAATAAAAAAGATTTATGTTTGCTCGAAAGAATTTAAGTCATGCTTTTAATTTTAAGACTATGCTCGAAATCATTAGAGTTATATTAATTTGTTTCTATGCCAAACTAAAATTCCTTTTTGGTCTAATTTATAAAACATGTTTTAGAGAATTTCTTTCTATATCTTAAAATGCATTAGACTTTTTAATTATTAATTCAAAGAAAGGATTTCACTCTTTATTTATTAACTAATGTTTTAAGAATCTTTTTTTCTAAAATAGGTGCTAGATTTGATGATGGTGCTGGTGGTGATAATGAAGTTCAAAGAACGATGCTTGAGCTTATCAACCAGTTAGATGGTTTTGATCCTCGTGGCAACATCAAGGTGCTCATGGCCACAAACAGACCCGATATTTTAGATCCTGCACTTATGCGTCCTGGTCGACTGGATCGAAAAATCGAATTCGGTTTACCCGATCTTGAGGTAAGTATTTCCTTTCCTAATTTTAAAATTATGTTCAATAGAACTGTCCTGGATTTTAATTTTTATGCTGAGGTTAAATGTTTTTCACCGCTGAGGTTAAATGTTTGCGTAACTTAAAATAAAATTTATTAAATTCCTGAAATTTAAATAGTACAGATTTCATTCTTCCACCCCTAGTGATTTTCAGCATAATTTTTCTTACTAAATTTCATTTAATTTGAATTGTCTGAATCTGTTGTAGGTATTTGTAGAACTTTTTAATGAATATTCAACTTACATTTAATCAGTTAATATTTGCATTGATTTTGTTTTATTGCAGTCAATGTACTACAGTCCAGATAACATACTACAGTCGAGATAAACATTACAAAGTTTATCTGGACTGTAGTATGTAAATTAATTTCTAATTTTATTTTCATTATAAAAATATTTTGATCCTTCCCTATTCAGGATTTTCTCTGTATAAAAAATTTCAAAATAAAATTAGATAAAAAAACATAAAATTCAGACTCTTTCATCAAATGTTATACATTTTACATCAGAATCATCTTATCAATATTTGAATGACTTGATGGTGCATTAAAAGATGTTATATTTTTTAATGACATCACCCCACAAAGATCTGTCAGTTTTGTTATTTCAATGGTCAGATATGGTATTTAGGTGCTTGTGTATTATGTTGCCGACAGTGCAAGTTGGCTACCATCAAATAATGAAGGCTGGTGGAGATTCCGCCAGATCTTGCACAATTCTGAAGGAATTGCTGCCTCATTATTTCATAATAAATCACTATTGGATCCGCTTCATGAAAAGGCTTTCATTAATTTCTAATATTTTGTTAGGTCCTACAATTTTACCAGAAGCTCTGTTTAAAATGCAGAGTGCAAACTTTCCACAGGTAATTATGCTAGGCTGTTACTGTTTTGTTGGCCATATTGAACTAACTGTATTATGTCCATTCACACATTCTTCTTTTAGGTTGAGTTCCCATAACTGTATTGAAAATAAGCTGATGTTTGCTGTTCTGTAGAAGGCATGTCACAAAATCATTTCTCTCAAAAATTAAATGTTTTGTTACATCACGCTTATCCATAATTGGTGCTAAATAGTGTTGCTTGATTATACGTAGGTGGTTTTTTTTTTTTTTTTTTTTTTTTTTTTTTCAACCTCTGATCGCACAGTATGATGGTCAGGTATGCGGCAGGTGGTTGGTGTGCGCAGTATTTTCTGTTGAGTTGCAGTCACGTAAACATGTCTGTCGCTATTGATTCTCCCGCCAAGTGTGAATTGCAAGCTGTTATTCATTTCTCGCAGGCAGAAGGGAACAGTGCAGCAGAAATTCATCGAAGAATGAGTCGAGTGTATGGAAACAGCTTTATGAGTGATGGCGTTGTTCGTGAATAGTATCGAAAGTTTGAAGATGGCCGAACTGATGTGCATGATGAAGGGCGTCAAGGATGCAAGTCTGTCCCTACAGACGACATTGTTCAATGAGTTGACCAAGCGGTTAAGCAAAATCGAAGGTTCACCATAAGTGAATTATCGATGAAATTTCTGGAAGTTTCAAGATCTTCCCTGTACTCTATCGTTACTGAACAGTTGCGCTACAGAAAAGTTTGCGCTCGCTGGGTCACACAGATGTTGACTGACAACCACAAAACTCGCCGAATGGTTGCAGCGTTTTAGTTTCGTGACCGTTACAATACTGACGGAGAAGAGTTTTTGAGATCCAGGTGATGAGACATGGGTTCATTATGACACGCCCGAAATGAAACTACAATCACAACTATGGATGCACACAAATTCTCCAAAGAGAACCACAAAATTCAAACAAACCTTAAAAAACGTAAGTTATGGAACTGTGTTTTGGGACAAAAGTGGTGTTTGCTTGTGGAGTTTATGCAGCCTGGACAACAAATTAATGCAGATTCATATTGTGAAACTTTGCGACGCTTACAGCTATTCAAAACAAACGAAAAGGCTTCTGGAATTGTTCTGATCCACGACAATGATTGTCCTCAACAGCGCTCATGTAACCCAACGGCTCCTTCAGCAATTTCAATGGGACATTTTCGAACATCGACCATATAGTCCTGACCTAGCGCCGAGTGACTTTCATCTGTTCCCTGAACTGAAGCAGTGGCTTGGTGGGAAGCACTTCCAAAATTACGTGGAGCTGAAAGAAACCATCACAACTCACTTCCAATCATTAGCAGGGACATTTTATGAAGAGGATATTGCAAAGCTTGTTCACAGATATGACAAATACCTCAATTTTCAAGGTGATTATGTAGAGAAATAATCTGTATTGTACATTTCTTTTGGTAATAAAATCTTTTTTGTATATTCACCCGTCTTTTCTTTATAGCCCATCGGAGGTTGAAAAAAAATAGCCCTCGTATTTTATGGTCAACAGACAAATACTTAAGTACAGCTTTTTGATTACATCCCTTAATCTTCCATTTACCATCAGATATGTGAAGTCTCTCCATCGTGAAAATAATAGTGCAGAGGAATGCAAATATGGAGTGACATTGAATGTAGGTACAAATAGAATTCTGATAATTTGCACACTTTGGGGCTAAGGATTGCACCATTTAGAGAATTTTGCAGATGGTCATCACTTTCAGAGTTTCGTTTACATTTTTCCGTTTAATTTTTTACCTAAATTTACGAAATTGAGACATAAATACTTAATTATTGAATACACATATATATTTATTAGGTATTATGAATTACTGAATGCAAAACATTTACATTTTTTAATGCAATTTATAATATAGTCGTGACATAGTGAAAAGGAGAAAAATGGTAATTTTTGGTGTAAGAGAAGTATTCTTATAAGAACACACACTTAAGTATTTTGTGTACTTAAAAAAAAAGTACGGACTAAGGAAACTAAAATAGTACAGTGTCCCACAAGTAAATACCTAAAATTTTTTAAATGAGACATTTAAAAAATTTCTGGTCAACTAATGTTTATCATGCTTATGTACTAAAAACATGCTAATTTTTACTTTTTTATTTACTGTTTTATTATTTAGTTCTAGAATTTTGATTTTGTAATCCAGAATTAACTAACTGTAAGAGGGGTGACCAATTTTTTATTCACTTTTGTAACTCAATTATGATTATAGAAAGATAGATTACTAAAAAAACAGTAATCTATCCTCTGAAGAAAGAGATTTATAAATCTTCCAACCATGTTAACTTTTGGAGAGTCCCCTTCCCATTTCATGACTTTTTGTTAGTTTTTCATTTGTCCAGGTATGACAGTTATATTCAATGCACTTTAACATATGTGTGGAAGGTCTACTCAACACAGTAAGATGTTATCCAGTAGGCTTTGATATTCAGTTTGCTCTACAAATTGTGCACATCTTGCTGCTTGATTTGGATGATCTTCTTCATGAAAGGAATGCAGTAATTGAATGCGATAAGGCTTTTTTATAAGCGTTGAATCCTAGATTCTGTGAACTGTTGTCTTGGGCATATTTCGAGTCTCAAATTAGGCTCTCTTACCAAATTTCAAATTTGTTCACAGTTTTATGAATCACATTGTCTCCACGTTCAGGTTTGTTAATTTTTTTCTTCATTTTGTATTACTCCTCTAATATAAAATATCACCCTCCCCCAAAAAAAAAAGAGAGAGAGATTTGTTCTTCTGTTTTCATAATTTAAGAATTCTGCAAAGGAATAAAAACAATATAAAAATTTTGATTTTTTGAAATCCCATGCGCAATAAAAATAAAGTTTATTGCACTTTTAACACATTTTAAACATCACAAACATTGATAATGCCTGAAGGTGTTTTTAAGTAGTTCCCAGTTTCTTAGCGATAATTACTTACTTTTGGGTCACCCTGTATATCCACAAATGAGATTGCTTTTTACATTCTTCAGTGGTAGCAAAAATAAAAAAAGTTTTACTGCTTATTTTTTTGGCGCGAAGGTTTGTTCTAAAATTGATACCTGTGCTGTTGTTGCTATTGTGTTTGCACACACAATTAAAAAAAAAAAAAAAGAGAGAGATTTCAGCACTTTCTGCCAGTGTTGGAATTTCTAAGGAGGAATAATTGAAACTTTATTAAAATATTTCTAGTCTTCTTTTCCTGTACCAACTTTTCGATTTTTCATGCCATGAATGTAAACAAAACAGATATGGGATCCAAGCGGCATGATTATGTCATAATGATGTAGCAATCTTGCACATGATATTGCAAAGACCTCGCTTTATGTCATCTTAAAGATGCCCAGATGTCTGTGGAATTTCTTTTTTTTTTTTTTTTTTTTTTTTTTGCTACCATCGCAAAGATGTCAATTTCCTGTCTTTGCCTGTACCTCTTTTTACCCAAAGATGTCACATATGTATTTTTCAAATTTCTCTGCTTTCTACCTACCCCCCCCAGAATATTTATGTGAAATTGTTATCTTAACATATAGCTGATTGAAAAGAATTAGTTTAATGAATAAGTGGTGTACAATCTTGTAAACAACTCGTATAAGATATCTAAACATTTATATTCCTGAATAATTGTTTCCTTCTTGATTGAAATTATTTTTAACAAACTAAACTTAAAAATGCTAACGAATATGCTGGCCATCCCATATGTGCAATCCCTTCACTCTCCAGGTAGTCATTGATGATATCAGCTCTATGAGGACGTGCACTATCGTCCATTAAAATAAAAGTAGGACCAACTGCTGCAGCGTACAATTTCACAATGGGTTCTAAGACTTGATCTCAATACTGGACAGCCGTCAAAGAACCCCGTTTAAAGATGTTCAGTTCGGTGCGGTATCCCAATGCAATCCCTACCCACACCATAATGCTTCTGCCTTAGAATGCGTGATTCGGTGATGCTTTGGGACTGATTGCATGTTCTTTGTTCATGCCATATTTTTATACGCTTGTCTGGCTCCAGAGCAAATCTTGACTCATCAGTAAACATAACATTGTCCCAGTCAAATACATTCCAATTGACATCTTCATATCTACAG